GCAACATCCTCAAGGTGGTCTATAAGCCAAGCCCCAACATCTAAGCTAGTGCTCCCTTCACTCAAGTGCCAAAGGAAGTAGAGCTCCCTTGTGGACACCACCCCCGAGGTATCCTCCCTAGCAAACGTCGTGTTTGCTATAGTGTGCAGAGAGAGTCTAAATGCGGGGTGGATAATGGCAGTGGCCTTATCGGATCTAGGGTTGTACTAAAAAGTCCCCGAGATTCTTCTCCAAAAATCTCTCGCATTATAACCACGGTGGTGTCTATCCTTAGGTCCGATAGTCCTGGTTGTGGGCCACCCAAAAGCTTGGTTCGCTCTTGCTATAGTCATTTTATGTTGGGTGTTCATGAGTTGGAAGGTTATGTAGAGGGGGGTCCTTGTGGTGTCCCGATGCACATAGAGGGTGGAGAGGAATTCAAGAGTTAGTCTCCTATAGGTTTGGGCATGCAATTGTAACCAAGAACCTAGGTCGGCACCCTCAAACAACATCCTAACATCGTCTCCTACCCCAAGGGCATCGGCTACCTCGTCATTGTAAAACTTAGTGGGCCTAATTCGCCTCCTACTATTCCTAAGGAAGTTGACCGAAAGGGCCGTGTCATTGAAGATTATTCCCATTGTATCCACTTGTGGTGGAGCAACGGGAGGAGGAGGCGATGGGTTCCTAAGTCTAGCGGAGGAGGTGTTTCTTGGGCGGTTTCTTCTTGACATGGTTGGTTCTTGTGCAAATCAATTAAACACGCCGCAACAATTCAAATCACCACACCAAACACACAAAAGCTCTAGGTCCACCTAGACAACAATTCAAAGCTCAAACAACACCAACAAAAACCACACGAATCACGTTGGGGCTCTAAGTCCACCACCTAGGATCAAGTTCAAGCAAATCACAAAAACAACCTAGATGCTTTTCACTATTTCAAGTCACAACAATTCAACACCAAGCTTTGTAAAATTAATGCATTCATGTCAACAATTCATCACAACAACACATCTAAGCTAGCATGCTCTTCATTCACAAAATCAATTCCTCCAAATCCTACTCACTTACAAACATCCAATTCTCACAAAATTCATGAAACACTATCAAATTCAACAATGCTTAACATTTATTAACAATAATTCACACACTACCAATTCAAACAACCTTTCAAGCAAAATTAACACAAATTATCAAGAGTTCAAGCATGGAAGTAGTGAATAGAAGGAACAATTATACCGAGTCTATCATGGGTCAACCCGCAAATGAACCTTTCTAACCTTCCTTAAGCTTGCTTGAGTCTTCTCCTTCAACCAATTGCTTTGATTTTCAACCCACAAGAAAACCCCCAATTTGATTTTTTTGGTTAGGGTTTAGGAAATTTGGGTGATTATTGGATTTAAAGATGGAGAATGGAGTAGTAGCTTGTGAATTTGTTGAAAATGAGTGAAGATTTTGATGAAAAATGTTGAATTTGGGTGAGGAATTGAGTGTTTGAGGGATTTGAGTGGAGTAGGAAGAAGGAGTTTAGAGAGAGAGAGAAAAGAGGATCATGAGATTGGGAGGAGTGGAGTGAGATTTTTTTTTTGTTAAAACAGTGCTGACTGCTGTTTAAACTGAGGTTGTACGGACGTGCAGAGGTTGGCACGGACGTGTAGCTTCAGGCAGAATAGCAGTTTGGTTCTGTCCTAGCGTGCACGGACGTGCAGACTTCTACACGGATGTGCAGCTTTAGTTGCACGAACGTGTCGATTTATGCACGGACGTGCAGAGAGGGTCAATAGCTTATGCCTTGATTTCGGGAATTCTGCAAGTCCGTGCAAGTTGTTGCACGTCCGTGCAGAACACCAGACCTGCACTCTCTGTTTTTTTTCCCTGTTTTTTTTATTTATTTTTTATTTATTTATTTTATTTATGAGTATATATATACATATTATATATCTCCCATAATATTATCATTATTATTGGAATTAAATCCTCCCAAAATCTTTTCTCACTTCTCCTTTTATCAATTATACCTATAAGGATAATAAAAGACAAAGGTTAGTAAAAATTCAAAATAAAGGGAGTGAAATAATAGTCTAAGGTGAGAATCTCGGGTTGCCTCCCGGAAGCGCTTCTTTAACATCACTAGCTTGACGACATTGTGGTATCAACATTAGTGAGGAACATCAAACTCATCAAGGTGAACAACCTTGGCCTCTTCATTGACAAAACCGTCAAAGTATGCCTTTAGCCCTTGGCCATTCACTTTGAACGGTTCACCATTGTCATTGGAGATTTCAATTGCACCATATGGAAACACCTTCTTGATGGTAAAAGGTCCACTCCATCTTGATTTTAGCTTACCCGGAAATAACTTCAACCGGGAATTGAATAGTAAGACCTTGTCACCTTCCTTGAACTCCCTTTTATTGATATGCTTGTCATTCCAAGCCTTGGTCTTTTCCTTGTAGATCCGTGCACTCTCATATGCATCCAATCTTAGCTCTTACAAGGCATGGAGGTCAAGTAACCTCTTTTAACCGGCACTTTGAAGGTCAAAGTTCAACGTTTTAATAGCCCAATGAGCACGATGCTCAAGTTCTACTGGCAAAATGGCATGATTTCCCATATACAAGCTTGTAACATGTGGTGCCAATGGGAGTCTTGAATGTGGTGCGGTAGGCCCATAGAGCATCATCTAGTTTCATACACCAATCCTTTCTAGACCTATCTATCGTCTTTTCTAAGATCATCTATATCTCCCGGTTTGAAATCTCAGCTTGACCACTTGTTTGTGGGTGGTAAGCCAATGACACCTTGTGCCTCACACCGTACTTTTCAAGGAGAGCTTGGAAGGTTCGCTTTGCAAAATGCAAACCTCCATCACTAATGACGGCACGTGGCACCTAGAACCTTGGAAAATGACCTTCTTGAAGAGCTTGACCACCACCTTAGCATCATTAGTTGGAGATACAACCACTTCTACCAACTTTGACACGTAATCGACGGCTACAAGAATGAATTTATTCCCAAAAGAGGTTGGGAAAGGCCCCATAAAATTTATGCCCCATACATCGAAAATCTCCAACTCAAGAATGTTGTTTAAGGGAATTTCACTTCTTCTTGAAATATTGCCGATTCTTTGACACCGGTCACAAGCTTTCACTACACCCTACACATCCTTGAACATTGTAGGCCAGTAGAAACCATATTGCAAGATTTTCGCCAAGGTTTTGTTAGCACTCATATGCCCTCCACAAGGTGAGGAGTGACACATTGTGATAACATCTTCAATCTCATATCTGGGACACACCTTCTAAAAAGGCCATCAACACCTTGTTTAAAGAGCAAGGGGTCGTCCCAAAAGTATTGGCGAACTTCATGAAGAAACTCCTTTTTTGTTGATAGATGAGGCCGGGAGGAAGAATAGAGCAAGCAAGTAGTTTGCAATGTCCGCAAACCATGGTGCCGGTGCTTGAAGGAGAGCAAATAGTTGATCATCCAAAAATGAATCGTCAGTTGGAAAGTTATCAAGATCACCTACGAAGATAGGCAACCATGAAAGATGACCGACCACAACATTTTCGACAACCTTTTTGTCTCTAATCTCAATATCATAATCTTGCAAGAGCAAGAACCACCATATCAATCTTGGATTAGGTTCCTTCTTGGACAAGAGTTACTTTAAGGCCGAATGGTCGGTGAAGACTATGACCTTAGAGCCCAACAAGTAGGGCCTAAACTTCTCAATTGCATGAACAATGGCTAGAAACTCCTTTTCCGTGGTTGTGTAATTTCTTTGTGCCTCATCCAATGTTTTGATAGTATAATAGATAGCATGGAACTTCTTGTCCTTCCTTTGTCCAAGAACGGACCCAACGGCAAAATCCAAAGCATCACACATGAGCTCGAAAGGAAGCTCCCAATTAGGGGGGTTGAATGATAGGGGCCGAAATAAAGGCCTCCTTCAACCTATCAAATGCTAGCAAACAATCATTAGTAAACACAAAAGGGGCATCCTTTACCAATAATTGAGTGAGCGGCTTTGCGATTTTTGAAAAATCCTTTATGAACAAGCAGTAAAACCCCGCATCTCCAAGAAAGCTCCTTATCCCCTTCACATTTGTAGGGGGTGGGAGGCGCTCAATTACCTCGATCTTGGCACGATCTACTTCAATGCCCCTCTAGAAATCACATGACCAAGAATAATCCCCTCCTTTACCATGAATTGACATTTTTCCTAATTCAAAACTAAGTTCACCTCTTGACATCTTTTTACCATTTTAATCAAATTCGACAGACAAGTATCAAAAGATGAACCAAAAACAGAAAAGTCATCCATGAATACCTCAATTGATGATTCAAGCATGTCGGAAAAGATAAACATCATACACCTTTGAAATGTGGAAGGTGCATTACAAAGTCCAAATGGCATCCTTCGATATGCAAAGGTGCCAAATGGACATGTGAATGTAGTCTTTTCTTGGTCCTCGGGTTGGATTAGGATTTGGAAGAATCCCGAGTATCCATCCAAGAAGCAATACTGACTATGTGATGCTAGTCTTTCTAATATTTGATCAATGAAGGGGAGTGGGAAGTGGTCTTTCCGAGTGGATTTATTCAATTTTCAATAATCAATGCACATCCTCCACCCGGTGATCGACCTCGTAGAAATGGTCTCACCCTTATCATTTTTTATGATGGTCATGCTTCCCTTTTTAGGCACAACCTGAACCGGGCTAACCCACTTACTATCAGAGATAGCTTATATTATGCCCGCTTCAAGAAGTTTCAAAACTTCTTTTTTCACCACTTCCTTCATGTTTGGATTGAGCCTTCTTTGGTGCTCAATCGAGGAAGCATGATCATCATCAAGTAGAATTTTATGCATGCATATGGTGGGACTTATCCCCATAATGTCATCAATTTTGTACCCAATGACATCTCTATACTCCCTTAAAACAACTAGGGGTTTCTCAAGAGAAGTGTCATTGAGCTTAGCATTGATAATAACGAGATAACTCTCACTATCATCAAGCAAAAGCATATTTAAGTAGAGGGGGAAGGGGTTTAAGTTCAACCTTAGGAGGAGGCGTAGTCCTCTCCTCTTTTGCTTCCACGTTAAGCACTTCAAATTTCATCACATCGTGGACCAAAGGTTGGTTGAGTAAGAGATCATACCCCTTTGCTTCTTCACCCTCCTCAAGTAAGCCTCCCGTTAGGGTAGCTTGTAAAGGATCTCTTTTATACAATCTTTCTCGGAACTCTTCTAAGTCCCTCTCCAATGTGTCAATTCTATGAACCTCGTCAATCAATGGCTTTTTCAAAGGTTGTGAGAATGAAAATGAAATTTTCTCATCTCCCACATTCAAAGTCAATCTTCCTTCCTTCATATCAATCATCACTCCCGCGGTGTTCAAAAATGGTCTCCCCAAAATGAGGGGTACTCTTGTATCTTCTTCCATCTCCATTACCACAAAATCACATAGAAAAAATACTCTTCCAACTTGGACCGGCACATCTTCAAGAATCCCCAAAGGTAGCCTAACCGTGCGGTCGGCTAATTGTAAGGACATTATTATTGGTTTCAAGTCTCCAAATTTCAAGCTCTTTGCAATAGAATAGGGCATCAAGCTCACACTTGCCCCAAGATCACATAAAGCATCCATAGCTTCCAAATCTCCAATCTTCACCAGTATTGCATAGCTACCAGGGTCACCAAGCTTTTGGGGAAGCTTATTTTGAATTATTGCACTCACCTCCTTAGGAAGGGAGATGGTTACATTCTCTTCAAGCCTACTCTTGTTGGATAGAAGATCCTTCAAAAAAATTTCATAGGTAGGCATTTGTGACATAGCATGAAGAAAGGGGATGTTCACTTGAAGTCCTCTCATGACTTCAAGAAATTTCGAAAACTTCTCATTCAACTTCTTCTCTACAATTCTGTAAGGAAATGGAATGGGGAGGGGGGGCTTATATACTCTCATGGGGGCCTTTTCTATTCCTTCTTCATCTCCCTCATCTTTCTTTTTTGCTCCACATCACTCTTTTGTTGCTCTTTTCTCTCAACTTCAACTACTTCGTTTTCAATATCATCCTCACTTCTCACCACAACTCCCTCATCTCTCTTTTGTGACTCCTCTTCACTCATAACCGGACCCTCATAACCTCTTCTCAATCTCAAAGTAATAGCCTTAGCTTGCTCCTTTGGGTTCACTAGCGTTGAGCTTGAAAAGTGACCACTAGGATTGGAGGATGAACTTCCAACTTGTTGTGCAATATGAGCCAATTGGCTCTCAATTATCTTATTGTGCGCTTGAAGTTGTTGGATGTTTTCATTCATATCCGTATTGCTCCTTATTTGTTGTGTCATGAAAGTTTCAAGAACGGATTCAAGGTTAGTCTTTTGAGGAGGTGGATGAGGAGGAGTGAGTTGGTTATATTGTGATCTTTATTGGTTTTGATCACAATATAACCAACAAATATCACAATATGAAGCTTTTTGGTTTTGAGAATGGGGTTTGTTGTAGTGCTTTTGAGGTTGGTTTTGGTTTTGGTTGTAGTTGTTTTGTGGGGGGCCTTGGTTGTGTTGCTTCCATCCCGTGTTTTGTTGGGGTTTCCAACTTTGGTTGTAGGATTAGGAGTATTGCTCATTTCTTTGCCCAATTGTCGTCGCTTGCTCTTGATTCTTTGAATTGCAATAAGAGGACAAGTGATCATTTCCTCCAAAGTCTCACAAGACATGACTTGTGATGAAGAGCTTGAGGGTGTGAGGGTGGCTTGATCTAGCTTGTGAGCTAGCATATCAAACTTTGATGCAATAAGATCTATTGCACTAAGATCATGGATTCCACCCTTCTTTGTTTGAGGTTGCCTTCGATCACCTCCATATGCATAATGCTTGGCCACTTCCTTAATCATCTTATATGCATCGTCCACCGATAGCTTTTTGAGGCTACCACCGGCCTCGGAATCAAGGTTGACCCTTGAAATAGGAGTAAGAGCGTCATAAAAGCTTTGTACAATGATCCATGATGTAAAATCATGGTGGGGGCATTTCCTTGTGTAATCTTTGAAACGCTCCCAAGCTTCACTCTATGTTTCATCAATGTCTTGATTGAAATTGGTGATCTTTCTTCTTAATTAGGCGGTCTTTTTCGGAGGACAATACTTTCCAAGAAAGGCTCTAGTGACTTCGTCCCATGTACTCAATGATCCCTCTTCAACCGTTCTTAACCAATGCTTTGCTTTATATTCTTGGAAAAATGCAAAATCTAGGTTCCGAATTTGTTCAACAAAATGCTTGGCAGAGCTGCAAAAACAGCAATAAGATCCAAGGCTCAGTTGAGCAGCTTAGGGGGAAACCGGGTTATGGCACAAGAAAGCGGAGATTTATCAGAAAAAGGGAGGGAGAATTGAAACATGTGCATACGGATGAACTCTTCCAAAATGTTGTTTTGCTTGATGGTTGTACACGACTCAAGAAAGTTGTCCAAATGAGAAAAAGGACACTCATGAGGACTACCTCCGAATTAATCGCTTTGAATCATACGGATGAGTTAAGGTGAAAGCTCGAAGTTGTTTGCATTTATGGTGGGGAGACGTATGCCACTTCGAAGTTGGAATGCGTTGGGGTGGTCATAGTCTCGTAGCATAGGTTGTGGAGGATTCTCTCCCATTATATCTTCTTCGTTGGTTCCGAAAACCTCTTCCGGATCGGAATCCGAATATTAAATGGAGAACTCGGGTGTGCCGTGCAAAAGTCTCCTCACGTTTCTCAAAGCCTATTTAGCTCTGGATCAATGGGAATAAGCGGTGATTGCTTACTCTTTCGTGTCATGCAAAGTCAAACAAAGCTAAGAAAAACGTTAGCATTAACTATCACAAGTTAAAAACACATAAACAAAAATTAAGGTAAGAAAACTGTTATACATATACACACACATTTAGTCTCATTCAACAATAATACATTCAATGTGACTTTGCCTCCCCGCCAACGGTGCCAAAAATTTGATAGGCCGTCGTCGAGCCTACTAAAATATAAATCCTATCTTAGTCTCACTAACTAATAGCAAGAGTAAGAAAGGGTCGAACCTAAGAGAGGCTTTGAATCAACCACCGAGATACTACCGTTTAAATAAGCTAAATGAAGTCGAAATTGGTTTGGTCTTGAGCAACTTCTACTAGTTAAATTCAACTAAAGCTAAGAGGAGATTAACAATATTTAGAGGAATCTAAGGCTCGGGTTATACCACTCAACTTCATCACAAATCATAATTAGCATGCAACAATCAAGGTAAATTAAGGGGATAAATTAGGGGAATTCATCTAAGGCACCCAACTACTCTCTCAAGCTAGAGGGATTACTTGAATCATCAATACAACCTTCTCTCGTGGTTACAAATCATAAAACAAATGTTGAAACATAATCACGATGACATAAACATTCCCTTGACTGGAAATTCCTATTCTCATGGCATTTCAAGTCAATTAAGCATAAGGGAACTAACTCAAGTTCATCTCTCGATCCTTCGTTGAGAAAGCTTGGATAAATAGTTCTAGCAATGGCCATATACAAGAACTAAACAATTAAACCACTTAAGCTCAACTAATTAACACCTAATAATTACCAAATTATTATATGCAAAAAGTAATTAGTGACTACATTGAGAGTTTTACCCAAACCCTAGAAAATTAGATTACTCACAATCCATGGAAGTTAAGGTAATTAAGGATTTCAAGCAATTCATGAATAGATTCAAACTAAGGATTAAGCTAATTAACAATCTAAGCATGCAAGAATTAAGCAAGTAATTAACAACTAAGTAAAGAGAAATGGAAGAGAAGAGTAAGAAATAGTTACTATAAAGCTTCAAAGTTAGCAATAATGGTGGAACTTGTCTTCTACAATGATTGAAGTTGAATATTTCCAAGCTAATAATTAGAATCTAACTAACGATTTGAGAATTTAATGTTCTAGGGTTGCAAAACTAAGAGAAAGCTCAAAAACATTGCTATCCTGTACAAATGAGCTCAGGGGGGGTATTTATAAGACCTACAAATGAAAAGGACGGAGAAAACGAGGAAAGAGTTCAACTGCAGGTCTGCACGGACGTGCCAGGTTTTGCACGAACGTGCAGCCTAAGCTGCACGGATGTGCCACCCTATGCACGGTCGTGCAGAGCAAGGCAGTAGCTACTGTCTGGGCTGGAAATCCTGCATGGACGTGCCAAGTATGGAACGGACGTGCAGCCTCTTCTGCACGGACGAGCCAACTTAAGCACGGTCGTGCAGGCCTTGCATTGCAGATTGATTTGGGCTGGGCATTCTGCACGGACGTCCTGGGTATCTTTCACAGACGTACATGCTCAGGCAGAAGGTTCTGACTTTCTAGAGCACTCCTGCACGGACGTGCAAGGTCTGGCACGGCCGTGTAGGGTCTTCTAAGCCCTTCTCTTCACCTTTTCTTTGGCTTTTCTCCTTTCCTTGGCTTCTTTCCATCATCTTCTTGCTTCTAACCTCAAATCAATATCTATACGCTTCATTTGGTCGTCTTTGGACCTAAAATCTCAACAAAAACAATAACAACCCGTGAAGCATAGGATACACAAAAATTGCATAACAATAGAGTAAAAGTGAACCAAAACACAAATTTATCAAGTAAACTAGGTTCAAAAACACCCTAAAATCATATCAAATAGCAAATTATCAGGACGATATGAGTTTCGCTAGTTGAGTTAGCTTGCTCTGACACATGATTTGTCAAATTAGCATACTCATGCGCCCTCGCCTCTGATGTGGTCTTATCCACATCCATTTGTTGCTCGTCTTGAATTTCCTTGAGAACCACTTTACTCCCACTTGGCTTTGTAGAAAGAATTCCTTTTCTAAAAAGACACCATCGCGAGCAAAAAACACTTTGTTATCTGCGCGATTGTAGAAGTAATACCCTTTTGTTTCCTTAGGATAACCCACGAAGAAACATTTGTCTGATTTAGGGCCTAATTTATCTCCTTGTAAACATTTTACATAGGCTTCACATTCCCAAATCTTGAGAAAAGACATCTTTGAAACATTTTGATCTAGTCCATAACTCATATGTCGTCTTCTCAACTGCTTTGGACGGGCTTCTGTTTAGTATGTTCGCAGCTATCTCTAACGCATCTCCCCTGAACGATATGTGCAGATTAGTAAAGCTCATCATGGATCGAACCATGTCAAGCAAAGTTCGATTCCTCCTTTCTGACACACCATTTAATTGTAGTGTTCTTAGAGGAGTTGATTATGAAAGTATTCCACAGTCCCTCAGATGATCATCAAAATCTTGAGTTAAATATTCACCACCACGATCAAATCGTAGTACTTTAATTGTTTTCCCAAGCTGATTTTGTACATCATTCTGGAATTCCTTCAACTTTTCAAAGGATTCCGACTTGTGCTTCATTAAGTAGATATAGCCATACCTACTTAAATCATCAGTAAAAGTAATGAAGTAGTTAAATCCACCTCTAGCTTTTGAACTCATTAGTCCACACACATCCGTATGTATGAGTCCTAAAAGGTCACTAGCTCTTTCACCCTTTCCTGTAAAAGGTGATTTGGTCATCTTCCCTAACAAGCATGACTCACAATTCCCAAATGATTCATAATCAAATGAGGATAAGAGTCCATCCTTTTGTAATTTCTAGATGCGCGATTGGTTTATGTGACCTAACCTACAATGCCATAGGTAGGTTTAGTTAGAATCATCTGTTATTCGCTTCTTATGATTTATGTTGTAAACATGAGTTGTATATTCTAAAATATACAAACCATTAATCAATTTAGCGTTAGCATATAACATATT